TTTTATCTTGCATGGTCATTGAGCTTATACATTTTAAAGTTTAGCCAAAATTTTTGATGTCTTTAGATGATTGGCACCATACCCCATTACCCATTTGGGATCATTCAACCAATAAAAAAGAGAACCAATGGATTATATATAAGCAAAGAAGGATGGGTCCCTAAACTAGCACAAAAGAATTTTAAATCAGTCTTGCTATTTTTTTATTGTATAATTTAAATATAGTTAAATTATATATCTTTAATAAAACAAAAATGACTTGGCTATTTAATACATTTCCTTTGTATGTGAATGTCTCCATCCATTAAATATTCATTGATGGTCATGATTATTATGCAATACATTTGATATCATCATTGGCATAACAAACAATTGCATCATCCATGCAGTAATAATACCAAGGCCATGCATAAATGAAACTTTTAATAATGTGTGTCTACCCAGATCTCTGGGATTCACAAGAATAAATAAATAAGGAGTAAAGACACTTGCCGTAAATGATTTGGCTGGTAGCTACCATTGCCATAAATAGCTATTGGTAGCTACCATTTGCCGCAAATAGTTGATATATGTTGAATAAAATCATCAATTATGTTATTTCCAGATGTCCAAGTGGCGTACAAAAGCTTTTATAATTATTATCAAATTGCTATGTGAATTTATGGAAGTTTCTATATCAATAAAGTTACTTTGCAATAATAATAATTAACCTTTAACAATAGTGAATTATAATTATTATTATTATCTATCATCCATCTTTTACTTTTTATCCGTGATTAATGGAAATTTTTACTTGAATGTGAGTAGCTATAGTAATAGAATAACTTCTAGTCTTCACTTGAAAAAGTAGAGGGAAACAATAGATAATTAGCATTCTAATAAATAAAACTCTGTGATAGAATCATTATTTTTAAAAAATAAAAACATTGTCTTTGTTTAAAACACTTTGACAAGACAACAGTGTAATTAATGCCTTGGTAAAAGGTAACAGTTGTGGAGCTTTGGAAAAAGCCATGTTTTATTTGCTTTAGTGAGCAAGCAAGGTTAGGACTAACATTGTTAACTAATGAGTGTTAACAACAATTAGTTCAGAAGTTAGGCCATAATTGTTAATTGACCAAGATGATACAACATCACCATTTAACAAGAGTCAAAAAATTGTAAAAAGTTATTATTTCAAAATATTATTATAATTTAACAAAGAAAACAAAATAAAGATAAAATAAAAAGATAAATAAAAAAGATAGTAATAAATTTATAGTGGAGATTAATTAGTCATTCATCAATTCTTTCTTTACTATAATTACTAGAATCTAATGTTAATAATTATTTAATTAATTAATATCATTAATAATAATTAATGGATAGTAATTTTCCAATTGATTAATAATGAAATTTTTATTCGCCAATGTTGACATTTTAGTTAAAATCAAGAGTATTTAACAAGCTATCATTACTTGTTAAGCTTTTTAAGCTTTTAGATTTAGCAATCTCTTCATCTAATATCCTACTTTTATGATATGCATCTGGTGTGAATTGTGTGCTTGTTTGTTTGCCTATAAAAAAAGATATTGTTTTTAATGAAAAACATAAAACATAATATGACAAGTGGCTACTTACTTTAAGTAGATTTAATTTCAGCTGTTGGTTATGTATTTCTATATTTTCTTTTACATTTTCCCAAGTTTTTTTCCTTTCTTTTGAGTTCTTTTGATGAAGCGATTACAATGTTAGTTAAATGTTCTATTTGGAATGGAGGAATAGACGAAAATTTTACCTTCCAATTATTTAACCTTTCTTGGACAAGATCGTATTCAGGACAAGAAATAACACTGAAAAAATTCTTCATTAAATTGTATTGAATCAACAGACTTTGTTGAGCTGTTTTAAGATCTTGAAAGCCTGCCGAAATGAAATAAGCTTCCTCACTCCAGTTTGACGTTGGAGTATTCACCCAAAAAGGTGAAATTCTTGATATAGAATTCAAGATTTTCATTATCTTGTGGCTTCTTAATGTTGAATTTTGGACAGATTCTAGAACTGCTTTCCCAATATTTTTCTTGTTATCACTGGTAATTAAATAAAAATAGTTTATAATAATTGATTAAGATAATGACAAGTGACAATAACCATTTTTTTTTAAACAAGTGTTGTAATGATTAAACCACATCCATTTTTAACAATTTAACTAGAGTGACGAGTGGTGGTGATAACCACCACCACCATTTAATGATAAACAATACTTACCCAGCAATTTTTGATTTTTGTTCTTGGCGATTTCGTTTTTTGTTTTTTACTACTTCTGATTTTGGCATGTTTTTTTTAATAACTAGAGTAACGATGAGTGGTGGGCAATAACCACCATCACCATCCTTAAAACACTTACCTAATGACTGCTTCTGCAGCATTTTTTGAGTGACTTCTTTTTCTGTTTTCTTTTGGGATGTTTAAATAAAATGAAGTTTGTTATTTGATCGACGTGTACACATTAATTATTTATCCTATTGGTTTTTTTTTTGGTAGGACAGACGCGAATTGATGATTTTTTGACAGAGTCCAAGGTGACAAAACGTGAGTGTTGTTGTTTGGTTTGGGTCTCCTAAAGAAAACGTGTTAATAACTAACCAGAGGTACTACTTTTTTTTACTTG